TGGCATGTAGAGCATGGCGGTAACAGCGTCAGAGATAGAGGCTCAAATCCCAGTGGAAACAAAACAACATACATGCACTCTCAAGTCCACGAGGGGCTCAGAATGAGAGTGCAAGCCAAATGGCATATAAAAAAAGAGTGGTAATCCTCCAAGGATAGACAGTTACACAATATGCATCGGATGATGAAGGAAAAAAAAGTGATTGTTTGGGGGAAATTCAAGGGCAAAAGAACACCGAATTTTCAAGCAAACTGAACTAACCTCTACCAAACAGTTGCAAATTAAACAAAAACATTTGCAAATCTACAACTAAGCTTACTTTTCAAATGACAGGTGATTTTTTCAAAACTAAACCCAACTTCTAGCAGAATAGTATTTCGGGGATTTAAAACTGACTTCCATCAGTTGTCATAAAGAATTGCAAAGAGGAGTGTACTTAAGCATCTTCATCTCATGAATAAGCCATTGCACTTGCATTAAATGCTGATGATATGGCAGATTAATCTAACCTCCCATTTTACACGACTGAGGATGCATTCATTGGGAAAAATGTAAACTCCAGGCATGACTGCTGCTACGCCCAACATCCCACATGCTTCATTTGAAGCCACTTCAGTTTAGGTGTGTTTTGACACATAAATTTGCGTGTTCAGCACTATCCATTTGTGAGATCTACATTTCCTGACAAAACATGTCTTGGGTAAACATTTGTGAGGATGCCAATATCATGCTCCTAAGACTAAGAGTTGGCTGAAAGGAGGGAATCATTTGCATCAAAGCTGAAGGGTACTTTTTTTTAGTGTCAGCCCTCCACAGTGTCACCAAGAATGACCAAATTATTTCGATCCCGAGTGCCCGTTTGTAATGACACCATTCTTTCAAGGGTGCAGTCTTCCAACTGTGTTTAAACTTTGTCAGGTTTGTCTGACTTTTCTCCATCTCAATTTCTCTCTCATTCCCTCGGCCACACACGTTTAAATAACAGGCGCCAGTTTGCTAACTTCCCTCGAGTCAGACATGGCAAAACAAACAAACAAACAAACGAACAAACAAACGTCTGAGAAAGGACAAAAACAACGTTCGAACTACAGAGCATCAGAGCTGTCACAACATTGGTCCAGCCGGGGGGAAAAAAAGGAAAAAAAAAAACTTTAGCTTAGAAGCTAAATCAATTAACAAAAAACTGCTTGTCTTACCTTTGCTAAAAAGGTTTTTTGTCTCTCCCGTCACCTCTTCATCGTCATTTTCAGCTTTCATTTTGTTCCCGGTCCTAAAAAAAAAAAAAAACGTTGGAAATGTATTGGCTTTTTTTGTTTGTTTTTTTCAAATGTAGGTGTAAACTGAAATGTTGACTTTTGTCCGCTCGTTATCTTAAAGAAAAAGTAATGGTGGTGCGGTCAAAGTAATCAACTGTCATCACCAGGTGTTGATGAGAGCCGCACGCGCCCGCCGAGTCCCTGAGCAGCTGCCACGCCCACCGCTCGCGGGGGGGAAGTCAGAGTCTCTCTTAGGGGCGACAAGTTAGGCGCCGGGCTGAGAAAAGGTGGAACAAATATATTCAGCTAACGTCGCACCGCCCAACAGCCAGTTCCACTGCTTATTGAAAAGCCGGTGTTTTACGAATAAAAGAACGCCAACGTCTCGAAATGACATACGTCACAGTTCCCGTGAGTACATTTTTCTGCGTGGTTTAAAAACAGGGATTTTCTTTCAAAAGACATTACGTATGCATTCTGTTTGGGAATCTTATATGTCTCTAAACAACAATATTTCTTTAAAAAGACACATTTAAAATGACAACCCCCCTTGTGCCATCCATCACATCTGAAGATTTTTTTTTTTAAACTTTAAAAATGATAACCCTTCTACCTTAAATCTAATTTTAAGAACACATTTAAAATGGCAAATCTTCTAGCATACATCACAGCAACATATTTAAAAAAAAACGGTAACCATTCTACAATTTTACAGCAGTTATCTGTAAAACATTTCAAAATGCCACGACCCTTATATCATAAATCATAACAATAAGTTCCAGAAAACAAATTTAGAAATGGTAACCCATCATAACTCATAGCAACGTTTCTAAAAGAACACATTTAAAAATCGTAACCTTTCTACTATCTATCAAATCAATATTCAAAAACATTTGAAAACGGCAAATATAAAAATGTGTTGTCACAACAATACCAACACATTTTTTAAAACATATTTTAATATTACATTGATATTAATATATTCACTGTTTGTTTTTGCTTTTAAGGAAACCTCAACTAAAATGGAGCAATATGTCCAAACAAATTGGAGATATGAAGGTAAGAATCATCCAGGTGCTGTTAAAAAAAATGTTTATCTGATTAGCCCTGAGTGAGCACACCTAGATGAGATTATTATTTTTCATTTTCCCTTTTTAAGATGACTTCATTCAGATGTTAATTGTCTGGAGCCTTCTTTTAATCTTGGAAGGTTAAAATATCATTCCCAAATCACTTGTTGTCCATCCTTGAAAAGTGTCCAAGATTATTTTTTCAAGTGGAAAGTTCCAGGCAGTTTCATAGTTTACCAGTAACCGTCCCCCACCAAGGACAGTAAAGTTAGACAAAGACTTAACAAGTACAGTTTGTTTGGAAGCGTTGGAGGAGAAAGTCAACAACAAAAAAATCACAAAGGTTTTTTTCCCCATATCACTGTTGTTTCACACTCAAAGTCATTTAGCAACAACCTTACGTCGCCAAAGTGCTGTAATCTGATTTTGCCTGATACTTGGCGTAAAGGAAAATCTTACTGTCTTCATTACCTGCACCTCCAGCTAAAACATTAACACAGCAACCAGCACTGCCACAGACACAAGTAAACCAGCCTTTCATCATCAATAAAAGCGTGAAAATGAGGTCTCCACACTGTGGGAGAAACCCTGGATCTGATTCTGTCTTCAACTCCTGCTGGGTGCGATGCTTTCTTATTCTTGATCTTCCCAAACAAACTACTGCAGCTCATCCTGCTAAAGCCAACTAATAAGAACCGAGACGCTGTGCAACCGTTCCAAGTTAGTGGCGGTACAGATCAAATACAGATTCGGCCGCAAGACGAAATACAAAATGTTTAGAAAATAAACACTCAGTGAAAAATGTTTTTTCAGTCATCACTAAATGTAAAGAGTTAGCCATCAATCAGCCACTGGGCTACACACAAATTAAGAATAAAAAGCTAATTGTTGCTAATTTCAAAAGACAAACACACAAAAAAATTCTTCACTGTCACTTAAATAAATAAAAATGTCCAAAATAAATTGTTCAGAATTAGCACTGAGTCACACTTAAGTTCTTAAATCTAAATGGACAAATGTCTGTGGTTTCTCTTCTTGATAAATTAATTAATCCCTCCTTTTCACCTTTCAGTGGTTCCCCTCTTTCAGTTTCTCTGCTCTGCCACATCAGTGCCTCACATCTTCCCTCCCCACGTCTCCCCTCACTTTGAGTTGGAGAGAACAACCCTCCTGCTCCTCTGCTCTCCCTAATAAGCCAGAGCGAGATTCCTTGGCTGACAGCTGTTCCAGATGGCGTTATGACTCCGTGGTGTCCCAGTCATCTGGCACAGGATCCTCCACTAGCGGCAGAGGCAGCTCTCCCTGCACCCTGTCCACACACCAGCACCAACATATGGCACGGTTATATAACGCTTTACCTGCCGGGGGATCTATTTCAAGGATCCCCCGGCAAATTTATGCTAGTTTTTTCTTCTGTGCAGGGTTCGATGTGACTAAATCTGCGTTGAGGAGCTGGTTTCCTCTCAAAAAATATTTAGGTGCATGCAGAAATGCCCTGAAGATGACAGCCTGTTGAGTTGAAGGGAAAGGTGAGAGAGCCCTCGATTGGTATCCTCTTCCCTGCATGAAAGTAGCCGCAGGTCATAAATGTGAGAAACAAAACCAGTATGGCTTTGAATTTCCAAAGCATTCATGGTTTGCTACAAGAGATAGAGCCATCTCCCAGACTGCACTGTATCTACGATGCAACAATTGCTTGGTTTAGGTTCGTTCTCAGCAACACAGTGGCAAAGATTAACATAATCATAGAGGAATGAAAGCAGATATCCTCTCTCAGGCTGTTTGTAGGCAATTTTGTTTGCTCTAATAGGTATCATATGAACATATTGTGGTGAAAGAGTAGATCTTTGCGGAGGGAGGGGGTGGTGGGGTGGTTCTAAATTAAGGATGCAAGAATGAGCAAATTACACACTGAAGTTTTTTCTTTCTTTTTTTGGCATTTCAGAAGTATGGCACTTTTCCCCCCCCCTTCTTTTATGCAACGTCAGGTTGAGTTTTTGAAAGGGCAAAACATAGATTCACAAGTTGATTGGATCTGGAATGACATGGCCACGAAGTCGGGGGGGCAGTTATTCACACTCTCCTGGCGGCGGCGCGTGAATACCAGTTAGCAAATGCGACCTACAGTATGCGCGCAGGGGGGCATTCAAACAATACATCTGTAAGCAATCGCTCACACTCATGAAGACACACACACGCACACAAACACAGGCACGTCGCACTCCATTGGTTGGTCTTAACTGCTCCGTAGTATTTTTAGGCCTGTTATTCTGGTGCCTGTGCTGGCAGAACACTGGGAGAGTATATAAGCCTCCCCCCATGCAACCAGGGACCACTGAGAACACAGTGGAAACATCTCTGACCGACCCCCTTGCAAACATCCAGAAGGCATTTTAAATTCTCTCAGGGTGAGTGAAAGCCATATGTGTATATATATATTTATATATATATATATACATGTAAATGGCTGTACCAGCACTTAAGCTAGATTGAACTTTTTTCAGTTACGGTACTTTTTTTTCTGCAAATCAGGCATAAATCAATCACAGGGAATTCTATCAGTAGTACTTCTATATATCATAATGGTGACTTTGCGGCTGGAACTAGAGGCACTCGGACATAAAGGGCTGAGACCCTTTGAGTTTTGGAACACTTGTTGTTGGTCTGGCTCCAGGAAGTGTCCCGGTTGGCTGCGCGCCGGCGTCCTCGGCAGCAGTTGGACTCGACGACCCTGCAGAGGGGGGGACACTCGAGCTGGGACAGATACGCGTTAGCGCGGAACTTCAGCCTGGGTCAAGGTTGATGGGGCAGTCGCAGTGACAAAAAAACCACAGTTTTTCCACCACGTTAAAGTTCCAGCGAGTCGGCTGTTGGGGGGCTCAAGTGTCCCCTGCTTAAAAAGCTCTGACTTCCTCTTCGCTGATGCCGTGACACTGAGCGATGATCCTAATCTCTGGACTCGTTTAAGGTTATGAATAGACATTACAGAATTGCCGATTTGTCACTGTCTCGCGTGAAATGTGCAGTGCGGAATTATCTGGCCGCGTCCTTATTAAGGACAGTGCGTTCTGATGTGAAATATTTCCATCTGCAGTGATGGGTCTGCTCTTAAGTCAACGTGCTGAAGTTCTTCCTCCTGTTTAAGTTTTCCGTTTGCCTCCTGTTTGCTTAGGAAACCATGCATCCGGCGTGATGTCAGCCGAGGTCGCCGTTCAGAAGTTCTCCTTTCCGCTCACCTGTGCTGTGCGCCTCTCCTCGCAAGGGGAGGCCACACAGAAGGGCTTCGCACAGGTGAAGGCCTCGGATCTTTTCGAGCTGAAGCGGGATGCGGCCCTCAGCGAAACGAGAACCTTCCCGGTCCTGGGCGCTCCGGTATGTGATGACAACCCACCCCAGGAAAGCGCAAAGTCTCCTCCCGGGGGAGGCGCGGCAGATGCCCACATTTTGGTGTGTGCCGAGGCCCCGCAGGGTCTGAGGGTGGAGAACGAGGACCAGCGCCCCGCAGCAAAGAGGCAGCTCTCATCCGAGAGCGCCGCGCGTACCGTCGCGGTGACGAAGAAGAGCGCGGTGAGGAGGGAGGCCGTGGAGCAAAGACTCCATCCTCAGAATGCACAGCTGGGACACGTAGTGACCCCCCAAGGCAAAAAGAGACGCAGGAAGGACCTCTTCACCAGTTCGGAGGTCTTCCACAAGCTCGACTCGCACGTCATCCGGGCCGGAGCAGAGGTGACCAGATTAAAACCTACGACACAATTTTTATGGCCATAGTCCTTTAATCAGAGCCAAGCACTTCATGCACAAAGCAATTATCCACACTCGAGTGGAGAAAAGTAGTGTCAGGCGGGGTGCTAAATGAGGATGTGAGATGATGAAACTGTGTGGCGGTGGTTAAAACGAAAGTTTTCTGAAAGTTAAAGCACTAAGTCTCCGTCTGATCTCACTGACACATTAAGAGAATAACCTTTTTACTGACCGTACATCGCTCTCCGTGTTCCACAGCTGAAAGAAAAACGCGTTCATGAGGTGAAGGCGATCGTGCAAAGCATCACACACGGAGCCGGAAACGACCTGGAGAGACTGCGTGCCATCTGGGTCTGGCTGTGCCATAACATTGGTGGGTTTATAGCAAGACTCGAGCTAAGCAGGCAAATGACTCTTTGGATGACAATGTTGATCTATTTGTGTTTTGGAGGAAGTCTCACGTTTTTTTTCCATCACAGAGTATGACGTGAGTGGGTACCTCGGCCACTCGGAGAAGCTGAGCTCCACAGAGGAAGTGATAGCAGCCGGCCGGGGTGTTTGTTGCAGCTACTCTAATCTTTGCTCAGAGATGTGCAGGTGAACCCAACTGAGATCCAACTTCTGAATTCTAATCATGATGACTAATTCCTGCCTCCAGTGATATTTATTAGATTTAATGGCATTAACTCAGTTCATTTAACCCACTGAAACCTTATACTACATAACTTATACCTTCAGCATGCATTGTTTTTACAGTATTGTGAGGGGGGGGGGATTGTTAAGCTGTCTGAACTTTCCAGGGAAAACTAATGACAACAACCACTTAACAATTCCAAAAGACTTGCAGAGTAAAGGATGACGACATTGGATCAAAATGGAGAACAAGGAGGAAGAAATGTAAAATGTTTCTTTACTTTATCATCGTGGAAATATGAGCCCACCAGGAAATAAAGTGAACAAACTGGCAAGAAAACACCGGGGAAATCAGAAATTCTGCACAATTTGTAACACTGTGACATAGCCGGAGGAGACCGTGGAATCTATTTCTATACAGCGTTCAGAATATAGGATCCGACAGACAATGCATACAAAGCAGTACAAAGTCAGACTGTGAACCAAACCCACCAAGAGGGCTTCATAGCAACAGCCTCATGCTGCTAATTAAATGCACCGCATGATATGTTGACCATCAGTCTGGGAAAGGTTAGAAACTGACATCACGGCAAATAGAAAAGCCGCAAGAACCCCGAGCTCCATCTGAGACTCCGCGGGCCCTGGTTTGCATGTTAAATGTTAAGCTTTATGACAGAACTCTTGGGAAGCGACGGAGTGAATTACCGGTAGGGTTTGGGCCGACGAAGATAAGGTGGCGATGTTTGGTGAAAACCAAACGCAGCCCATCTGCACATAAACGCCTCGGCTGAACTGTGAAGCACGGCGGTGGGTTGATGAGTGTTGATTTGGGCTTGTTTCGGAGCAGCGGGACCCCGACACCGCACAGCTATCGAGTAGACATTTAACTACTCTGTTTTCTAGAGTCAAATGTGAGGCCATCAGAACAATTATGATGGTATAAAATCTACAGCAGAATGTCGGGAAAAGGACAGAACTGAATTGTCTATGCATGAACTAACACAACATTGTAAAGAAGAGTGGGTCAAAATTCCCTCAAACCCATGTTAGAGACTGATATTGTCATTAACAACCATTCAGTATAGAGAATCATTCATTCAACAAGCTACTATAAACTAGTTACTTTTTTTAAGACACTAATTCTTCATTTTGGCATCGATTTTGCCATATAGATTACAGAGTGATGTTACATGTCATGTAGCATTAAGTTAACTCATTTGAAAACTTGGGAAAAGCACAATTTTTTTTTCCTGACATATAAGATCTTGACTAGCAGGTCTTTTCTTTTTTCACTTGATTGTTGCAAAAGAATAGTTAACAGCAGTTTAAAAAAAAAAAACATCCTTCTGGACGTCAGAAGACAGTCAAAAACAGTAAATACTTTCTTCTCATTTCACCAGTTCCGAGTATTATTTTTTTTGTACAGCCCCGGCCCCTTCAATTTCAAAGCGAGCCTTGAGTGTAAAATCAAGTTTGGCCTGAAAAAAAAAAACAGGTGAGAGCATGCTCTGTTTGGTTTGTGTTTACAGAGAAGTGGGCATCGAGTGCCAGGAAGTGCCGGGCCACAGCAAGGGCATCGGGTACCGTCAGGGCCAGAGCCTCAAGCATGTGAAATCAGATCACCTGTGGAATGCCGTGCTGCTGGGAGGACAGTGGTTTCTACTGGATGCCTGCTGGGGAGCTGGGAGAGTAGATATGGAACATGAAAGCTTTGTGAAAAGGTTGGGAAAACAAACGATCCCCGGCAAGTCTGTCACGGTTATGTTTGTGGAGTTCGACATAGAAGTGCTTCTGTGAAAAGGAGTGGTTGGAGCCATTGCGGTCCTTCCATTGTCTGACTTCAAACAATTCCCCAACGTCGAGTTTTTTTTATTTTTATGCTCAAGGTTCGACGACTTCTATTTCCTAACGGATCCGGAGGAGTTCATCGACTCGCACTACCCAGATGAGGAGAAGTGGCAGCTCCTGGACGCGCCCATGGCCCTGGAGGAGTTCGAGAGGAGGGTCTTCAAGACCTCGTCTTTCTTCACCATGGGGCTCCGGCTGATCAATCCCCGTTACCACCATATTGTCACAGGTGCACCACCTATTGCCCTTTCACTTTTGTCAAAAAGTTAACCGCTTTTAATTCCAACAGTTCGTCACTTACTTACACAGTGTAGTAATTTCTCCCAGCTAACGGTGAAATTGTATTTTGCATTCTAACAAATTGCCTTTTCAAATGGGTATCGAAACTACGGTAGCCGTCATGCATCAAGTAATGACAACATGACTTCCACATCATCAAGTTTTCTCTCGGGTGATGAGGTTTATAATTCAGTGACGTGACTCTGGCTCTGACCGAAAACTAGTTGTGGATTAGCTAGACGGGTAGACTAGGGCTTTAGGTCCCTCCCTGCATTTTTCAAAATGGCGGACGACAGTGGACTTACCCTTCCTATGTAGATACAGATAAAAAATTCTCCGCTTATGGGGAGAAGTCAGATCATTGAAGAGGTCATTTTACACCAAATGAGGACACATTTATAAATGAAGAAAACTGATTTTAGCTAATAAAATACTTAAAATACTGCGCAATGTCCCTTTAGTGAGGAAGTACGTTCCCATTCATAAGCCTATGATCCCCATGATCCCTTAAAAGTACCCATTTGTCGTCTTCTCAGACGACGGGGAGGCCAACGTGTCCCTTGGCTTCTCCAGGCCCACCACGTTTACCCACGAGATCACGCCTCACCAGGACCTCCTCCACTGTGGAGCCTCGGAGCAAAAGGAGTCCGGCGGCTCGTCCTTCGGCCTTCTCACCGTCTCCCACCGGAGCATGAGGCTGCAGCTGCTGCCGCCCGCCTCCGGCACCTACGACGTGAAGGTGTTCGCCAGACCCGAGGCGGCCAAGACGGCCCTGGTCTGGGTCTGCTCCTTCACCGTCGAGTGCCAGGCTCCCAGAACCACGGAGGACATCCCAGAGAACCCCTTCTTGTCCTGGGGCCTCCAGCCCGCGGCGGCCTCGCTGGGCGTGGAGAGCAGCAACCAAGGCGGCGAGGTCGTGGAGGTGGAGGGCGGGGCCTTCGAGCTGGCGCTGAAGACGTCCCGGCCCCTGATGGCGCTCTGCGAGCTGGTCCACCCGCAAGTGGAGGCGGCGGTCGCCAAGCGCTGCCTGGCGGCTCAGATCCAAGCCGACGCCCTCACATGCCACGTCCTGTGTCCCCGGCGGGGCTTCTACCGGCTGTCGCTGTTCGTGCGGGACCACGAGAAAACCGAGGCCCCGTTCAAGAACGCCGCCAACTTCCTGCTGCACTGCCGGGGGAAGGTGGCGGCCCCGGACGAGCTGTTCCCGCCGGACCTGGGCTCCGCCTGCGGGCCGGGGATCCGCACCTCCCAGGCAGGCCTGTCCAAATTCAGCCACGGCGGCGCGGTGGTCAGCACCCAGCAAGGCAGGCTCAACATCACCTTCCACAACCAGCGGGACCTGGATCTCCACTTCGTGCTCGGCCGTACTGGGGGCGAGGCGCCGGCTTTCCCGCTGGCCCGCCACCTGCTCTCCACCCAGACGGACAGCAAGGTGACGGTCAGCCTCAGCCTGCCCGAGGCCGGCGTGTACCGGCTGGGACTCTACGCCCGCCTGGGGCCGGGGGGGGACTTCAGCCCCGCGTGCGACTTCGTGCTGAGGAACAGCTGCGCCCAGCCGCGCCCGCCGTTCCCCCGCGTCTACTCGGCCTGGAGGAGGGGCTGCGTCCTGTTCGAGCCCCGCTCAGGCCTGCTGGAGCCCCTCCGCCGGGTCCTGTTCAGGGCGCGGGTCCCGGGGGCGCTGAGGGTCAGCGTGGTCGGGGAGACGAGAACCGACCTGAAAATGAACAAGAGCAGGGTCTGGGAGGGGAGGTCTTCACTGGAGAGCCACTCACGGAGCTGAAACTGGCCGCCTCCTCGGAGGAGTCCTGCGACATGGCCGTCCTCATGACTTTCGACGTAAAATCAGCCTGAGAACTAATGCCAATCACAACAGCGGACTGTTTCGGCAGTTAGGATATTTAAACTGTGACATTTGAAACAACAATACATCATGAAAAAAAAGATCAAGTGTGTATAAACTTTGCTGCGATGAAGCAATGTAGAGAGACACGACATTTTCCCGGATTACCGAAACTATTTGCAAAGTAAGAAAAAGGCAGCATGACAGGGAAAATGAAAAAGGAGCAGAACACAAACTCTGCTTTGATATAAATTCAGACAGTATGACCTTCAGCTTTTCCCATCGATTTGTAAAAAAACGCATGAATTCCTACATTTCGGGCAGGCAAAACAAAGATTTGCCGAGTGTGATTTCCCATCGTTGCCCTCTTAAAAAATACATGAATGTCCTTAGAAAAGAGGTCAACTCGGAGACAGTGCATGTTGCTTTGAAATCTTGAGATATTTGTCTCCATTGACGCTGATGTAACGAAGGGGAAACGGGCTTCATAAAGACTCTGTTTCTTCTATCATATCTGATAACAGTATAGGTTTCTTTTTGTATTAGGTCCAGAACAGGCAAAATCTCTCACTAAAGCTCTCTTCACACGGGTTATTTCAGATGCCTCCGAATCTAGTCTATTCTAGTCTATTCAGCAGAAATATGGATAGATAGAAATAAACTTTTTTTTTTTCCCACAGTAGTTTCGGATTTTGTGAATGGAATTTTATCTTGTGGTGATTTTGCCAAAGGTTACCCACGGTTACCTCTTGCTCATGCGTTTGTTCAAGTTCTTGATGAATGAAGAAAAATGAAGAACCTGAGAGCACAATTGTTCAGATTAGGTAGAAATTTGCACCATTATATAAAAAAAATGATAATGATAATCTCATATTGTCAGCGCTGAAAGGAGTCAAGGTGTTTTTCAGAGCTAAGTGATACCATGCCTCCATGACTATGACATTGTGCAGATCAAGAGTGCTTTTGCACCAATAGCCAATCTCACAGTATTAGACACAAACCTGCATGGTGGAAATGACGGCTGTCAAAAGGTGTATAATAAAGAAATACCCTGTGAAGGTGATATTTGAATCTGCTCATTCTTATTGGCTTCGGGCGCTGTGGTCGCACGTTACGAAGCTCGCATAATAAAAGGTTTGCTGATGGTTCTCACACGTCTTTCGGAGCAAAGATGACACCGTCAAAAGCTGCTTGGACTTCCCGCCGGGTGCGTTATGATACGGACGATAGTGAGAAACCGGCTTCTGAAGGTAGAAATGATTGCCCTGTTGTTTTAATCCGAGACCCATCTATCAACCCCGACAGCAAACCGAGTACACACGATTGCCAACAAGTGCTCAGCTTCCCGTATTGCCAGAAATAGTCGATCCCGCAGGGGCCGGCTTCGGCGAGGGTCAAGGCTGCTTACATCTCTCTTTCCACTCCACCGAAACATGCACCGTATCACCTCCTGGGCCACTGAGTAAGAAAAAAAAAAAAGAAAGAGAAAGAAAAGGAACTCTCCTTCAACCAGACTGAAGAAAATGAAGTCAACGGAACGCACTGCATTGTTGCCGAGGCATGGCTCCACTCGGCGGGCTTCGGCAAGACGCTATAGGAGTGATGAGTGTTTACACGAGGCTGTCATGAGGGCACGCAAATAGAAAATGCAACAATGGGGCGGCGGGCGGGAGAAACAGGGCGGTTGCTGGTGGAAGAGACGAGGCGAGAGGGATTGCGAGGGAGCTAAGGCGGGTGGTCTTTGCCCACGAGTTGAGGGGGAGGGGAGGGGGGGGGGGGGAGTAACTGGTGGGCACAGAGAGACGAGGAAAGGCTGATGTCAGAGGTTAGCCATGTGGAGGCCTGCGTCTGCCTGCCAACAGCACAAGGACACAGCCACACTTCTTCCTTTCTTTTTTAAGCGCACATGCTAAAACACCAAAGAGGAGGAGGAGGGGGGGAAAAAACACAGGGATGTGTGGGATACACACACACACACACACACACGGAGGATCAGCGTGGCCAAAACTCCCTCTTGATAACTGGCGGCCCTCTGCTTTTAGAAGGCGCGGATACAAGATTTCAAAGCGCGGAGGACTCGTGTTCTCCCCCCCAGGTGACAAATCCGCGACTACGCGCTGGCATCTGAGAGCAAAGCGGACAGTTTCCGAGGGCGCCGGCGGCCTGCGGAGTCTCGGGGCCGCAGTTGAATAACAAGAGGAGAAACGGATCAGCCGTAGAAATGTTTTTATTAATTATCTGGTGCAATAAATACAACATTAAAGTTTATTTTTTAAAAAGCATCAGTCACAGGAAAAAAACAGAAGTTACAGTCGTTTTTGTGCAAACTCGAGTCGGTTTAGCTCTTTCTGACCCACCCCTAAGCAAAAAATGGGGGGGGTTTGGCACTTTTGAAGTGACCTTTTGTTTTTGTTTGAACTTTTTGCAGCCTGTAGATAGCAGAAGAAGAAATTACCCCCCCCCCCCCTTTCTGATTCTGCCATCGTGACATCAAATTCCTGCCGACTTAAATCGGAACTGTTCCTTAACACGAGTGTGTGGCCACGGATGAAGATATCAACCTGCAGTTTCCACTGAAAGATTTGGTCAGGTAAAAAAAACAACAAAAAACAACCATCCAAGCTGCCTCTTTCCAATAAGCACAAAAAAATACTATCAAAAATATCCTATTCTTCAAGAAGCGTTCCAATCTCTGGGTCCTTCAGAGGGTTGAAGCCAATCTTCGAGAGCAAAAACAAACTAGAAAAAACCTCGTCCACGAGACGAGAATGTCCCCGTGTCCCCGTCGGCAGAGAGCCAATTACACACCAAACTTTGTTTTTGTCCTATAACTTCAGCGACAGAACAGAGGGCGGTGCGTTGGTCACACTGGGAGGCCGGTGGAGGGCTCTAACGGGCTCCCCACGCACAATAAGAAGGAATCACCCAACTTTGGTCGCACACTCAATTGTTTTGTTTGGTTTTTTTTTCTTAAAAAGAGGTGGGTATGCTGACAAATAGAAAAATAAATACAGAAATCAGCCACCTTGAAATGTACCTCGGAAATGGAAATAAAAGTTTAGTGGCTGTAGTCCAGCTATTCCACCATTTTTTTCTATCTAATGTGTTTTTGCTGAATTATCCACAGCCTGCCAGCAGCCTCCCTCTGTGTGACCTTGCCAACGTTACCCCTCTGGCTTTGTTAAAAAAAAACTAAACAAAACAAAAAAACACATCGGTTTTAAAGAACAACTCCACGGAGTCCTTTCACCAACACTGCAGAGGGACGGATCCTCGCCTGACAACACTTCTTTCGGAAGAAAAAAAAAAGCCGATTTATAGGTTTGATCTTCCTTTTCCTGCAACAGATTGCGTCCGTTTTAGTTGTTTTTTTTGCAGCCTGTGCAAAAGAAAAAGGTAAACATTTTGTTTTGCCTCGCAAATGCTTAAATCACAGTCGTAGAAAAATATCATTTGTCCTTTTGAGGCGATTCAAATTATCAGCAGGTATGCAAAATAAATGTCTTCATTTCTTTTCCGCAGCAGTTTGGTGAAAGGCTTTTTCCCCCCGTTTTTGTCAGCACATATGTGGTATCATATATATATATCTCTATGCATGCAACGTAGCACAGACTTGTTGTAGTACTAGTGTAAAGGTGAGTCTATAGATTTGTTAGTGCTAATTAGGCTGAAACATCACAAACAGGTTATATAACCCTCGTCTCTTGAAGGACTAGCTTATAATCTCTCGGCCACTTGGGGCATTGGAACCTCCGGTCTTTGGACGGTCTGTCGCCGTCAATCTCTCCCTCATGAGCCTCCTAACTTTTACCCAACAGCGTTGCGTAAGTGCAGTACCGTAACAACTGTTGCTCAAAACAGACAGCGGCTTAAACAAGAGCTATCTAGTTTAACACCGGAGGATTAAAGTTGCACATTATCCTGCTCCGCTTCTAAAAGCACCGTAATCCGTTTGAGTTTTGCTCTATCGGTAATACAGAAGCGGAGGTAATGTGCCCCCCCCCCCCACCTAAAAGGCAGCCGGCCCGTGCCAGCTGTTGAGAGGCCCGGGATGTTTGTGTTTTCAGGGTTCTGATGTTTAGTCCTTAAAGAGCGCTCTGAGGGTTCTGTGAGAGGAACGACATGGAAAAAAAAACCACAACACACAGACAAACCGCACACAAAGGAAAACTGGAGAGGAGCTCATTAAGTATGCAGCTTCAGGTGAGCTCTCCTATTTGTGTGAACACCTCTTGTGCTGGTTACTTGGAATGTTCCCGGGGTAATTGGCATTCGGGGCGCGCTACGGCGTTGTGTGTCGTTTTCTATAATGCATGAATCATCTGAAAGACGGCGCGAGTGGAATCAAACGGTGTGGCTTTGGCAGATCAAAGGACGCTGGGCTGGGAGAGGGGATGGGGCCAGCAGTGTCAGGCTGAGTTTGGACTCAGTGGTCTGAGAAGTCGTACCAAGACCTGAGGAGAAACTTGGGGCTTGACGGGACAGCCAGAAGTCTAGACAAACCATTTATTTTTCTCTTTTTTGTTTGTTTTGTGTTGTTGTTTTGGTACAGCTGCTGATAAAATCAGTCACGCTGGTATATTAGCAGCCTGGCACCCTGCCAAAGAGGTGATGTGGTTGGTCTATCTGTTTCCAAAGCCGTTGATATATTTGCATAAAGTGTTTACCGAAGAAGGGACGGAGCCCCATTTTTGGAAAAATTTATTTGAATGCAACCTTGTTGGAAGTTTAAAGCCTCAGACCGTTTATATCAGCATCCTTTAACTAAAAATAAACCCAACCCAGGGCACTTCCACGTTGGGCAGGCTCCCTGTTACACTGCTAACCCCATTTGTGAATGATAACTATCTAATTTACACGTACCATTACAAGGGTCCCTACACATTTCAGTTTGTGGTGAGCTTTAACTTGGATGTAAATAATATCTTGCGCTGGATAAAGACACTCCAGGGAAATCGACAACATTTCAAAAGCTGTGTAGGAACCCCAAGAAGAGGAAGACATGCATATAACACCACTCTTTGTGACTTCACTTCACTGATGAGTAAACTCGTGTACTCAAAACTAATCACGCAATAACCTGAATAAGGGTTTTCCCGCATGCTCATTTTGCCCTCGGCCCTACCCAGATGTTATGAGACAAAAGACTCAACAACAGGAGCGTTCACACTAATCTGACGAAAAACGATGCAACGAGTGACCCACAACTGGCTGCAGCTGGACTAACCGAATCAACACCGCCGTTAACAAGTAAAGCCGTCATGAACTCCGGTTTAACGGCGGGGTTTTTCACAGCTTCAGCCTCGAAGAAACGTGGTGCTGCTGGGACTGCGCTATCTTTAGAATATTACACTGTTGGATCGCTGGAGGAAAGCAGCGGGGAGGCTTGTAGCTACATATGTGACAAACAAGCGGCATTCCTCCCATGTCTGAGGCCCACGGCGTCCAACGTTGGCCGCTCTGGGGCCGAGCGAACCCTCGGCCGCAGATGAGCTAACAGGTGGAGTGCCGATTGGGTGTCGGAGGAGGGGGGGGGGGGGGCTAATCTTGAGAAACCCCACCGGGGGGCCGGGCGGCATCGCACGACCATCCGGGCCCATCCAGAAATAGAGCTTTTAATTTGCCAACTGTGATAAACAGAGCTTCTCCTTTGCCGGTGGGAGAGCCATTGGAAACCTCCCTCCAATTACCAAAGTGTCATAGCTTTTCAGAGGACACTAAAGATGGGGTCTGACGTTGTGTAATTTACTCTCTTTTTTTTTTTTTAATATGGATTAACGCACACCACAGCATGGACTCACCCCTGCCATTTGCAAACTATGACATCCACCCCACCGAAGCGCTAACCCAGCAGCTGGTGTTGCCGCGGTGAGTAAAGTAGAGCACGGTGGCGTGACATAACTGGCTTTTGTTATGTAAGGACGCTGTTCAGAAGCTCACCTCAGCTTATCCGGTCCGTGCCGCCAAATCGGAACCAAAGGGACGTTTGTTGTCAACAAAGAGATGGGATGGACTTTTAGCGGCAGGTTTCTACTGAAGATGCCAATGGCTGGGATTCCTCATTCCCCATTACAGCTGATTGCCGAGTGTGTGACCCCTGTGCCCCCCCCCTCCCCTCCCACTGTAGTTCTTTGTGATTTTAATAAGACAGATGGAGTGAATCTACCCAGATTCTCTCATGGGTCGAACAGGTCAGGCTGTCCATGAAACTCCAGCTGGTGGTTGAAATGCTCGATCTCTTTGTTGGCTGCGGCGATGTGCTCTTTAATAAACTCGTCCATGTCTGCGGGATGGAGAATGTAAGGAAGAGAACAATCGGTTGCAAAGCAAAGGAGCATTAGGGCACATCTCACAGAGACTTGTGATTATTATGGTCTTCAAGGCCTTGACTTCAGTGGCACTTGTTTTGAAGACTCCAGCCTTGGAGTAGCCTCAAGAGCTTTAGGCAAGATTCTGTCGCTGCCTGAACTTGACTGGGTGTCAACGGTTAAAAAGAAAACAAAACCAAAAATAAATAAATAAAAGCTGGAGGAAAAGAGGATACTGGGATGAAAGTTTTTTCTCTCCCCAAAGATGTCGACATAGTGATAGCCATTGTAGAAGTAACCCGGTGGCAGTGGGTCCAAGTGTTTCGCCATCTGAGGAGGAACATCATGCGCAGGAAAGATGATCAGAAACACATGAATACATAAAGCATCAAAAGGGAAAGCACTTCAGACAAAGTATGTTAACATGAGAGTTTTTTTATAATCATGTGGGATGCAGATCCCATAAATGATATCTTCATACGGCCCTTCAGCTGTATCCGATTTCTCTCGTTTCAACAAAAACAAAAAAAACGCAGATTAACTATAATGTGCTTGCGTATCAACATCACTCAGTGTAACGTGAAACACAAGTTTTAATTGAAAAACAAATAATTACGCAATGCATATGTGGATGGAGCACGTGTGCCATCAGCTTATGGAGCGAGCTTTGTGCTCTCGCAGTGCTTTTGTCTCTTTGCACGGCACTCGGTTGACATACTTAATTAATCATTATTTGTTACATTATAAATAATCACCACAAATTACATTATGCAATTCTAATGATGTGGTGTGCAGTGGAGCACAACTCCCTTCAGCTCTGAGCTTGTTAGCGAGGCGACGGACACTCACATGTATGCTCTTGATTTCTTGAGGTGACAGGGTATTTTTAGTTTTCTTTGTTTTCATCGGCTGCCTCTGTAAACATCAAAGAACAACAGCAGCTTTGTGGTTAGACAACTTCTTTTTTTTTTTTTCCCTTTCCCTTTTTAAATTTCCCCGGTACCAGCCTAAAGCAGCATGATGTAAGATCAGTACAAGTTTCAGAGCGAGCTTGTAACAAAAGCAGAGCAGCTCTGAAAATATCAACCTGCTTGGCGCAGAGCCTCAGCCAGTCTTTGAGTCCATCCTCGCTGAGGCCGACTCCGTCAAAAATCAGGAAGCAGGGTGTGTCCACGTCCTTGGGGCCTGCGGGCAGAGGGTTGATGCCTCCTTCTGGGACGATGCTGAGACTCCCGCTCACTGTGTTGTAGCACACCTCCATTGGCTGGTCGCAGTCTGGAGGTTTCAGACATGACCGGGTTCAGCTTATGTTCACACCTTGTGCGACACCTGTTCCAGCAGCTATATACAGCATGAGCACGCTGCTGAAGTGTTAATGCTTTTGCGTTCGTAGCATCCTTTTGATCCTAAAATGGTTCACAACTTGTGGTAACTCATGTCGAATGCTGGGCTTTAATGAATATAGGCACTGAATGGAAAATAAAGGGGAAACAAAGTGATGTAAAGTATGCCGACCTACAGATGGTGACAACATTATTCATAACATCATACAGCCGAAGCATTCATTTCATCCTGCACAGACCAAACTTTCTGAACCTCCTCACGGGCTCCTGCACGCTCTCCTCATGCAATGACTCCACACAGGTCTTCACACAGAAAGACGAGTGAGAAACTACGTGAGGGAAACCAAACCAGTGAGCTATGAGCTGAAATCTAAAACACCAGACAACAAGCGAGCAATGTTCCTACCGTCAGAAGCTTCCTGCCCTCTTAGAGAGCAACCTTTTGTCTTAATAATTCCCCCACAGTTGGGGATGAGAATATTTACAGAGGAAAAAAGTTAGAGTTGTTAAATTATGTTAAAGGTCTCTGGAGCACAATGTGAAATCTGAAAATATTCAATCATTAGAAAAACGTAACAACAGAAAGAAAAAGAAAATTGTTAATGCAAATAGTTTCCTACCAGAAAATTGGACTTTGCCCCAAATGTTGTATACGTTTCCTCTGAAGGGACTTGGCTTCAGTGAGGCCTTGAGCTCTGTGAAACAGAAAGTGTCAAGTGTGTTTTGCCTCTGCGTTTGACATTAATCGTATAAAATGTGCCTGAAAAAGCTAAATTTGTCTTTGAAGATATTTTAAGTGCGTCTTGTGGGAATGCAAATTATTTTACAACTGAGCTTGATAATCACTTGGAGACTTCAGCTACCTCCGTATATGGAAGCAAAGATGGCTTATGTAAGAAGAAAATCCGTCCAGCTCATATCTGCAACGTGGGTCTTCTTTAAGAAAAAAAAAAAAAGAGGTGGTGTGGGGGGCTTTCTTTCCATCTTACCTTTACAGCGGCTGACAAATAGAGGCCTCTCCAGGGGCCGGCTGAAAGCAACGCGTTGCTGAGTGAGGAACGGAGTCCCAGAACCAGAGAAGAAGCTGCCTTTGCACCTGAAAAACAGGACGTGAGCACACAGTGCAAAAGGTCACCGAGTTAAGTCTTGAGCAGGTTGCATGTTTGGGCTACAGCCTATGTTTGGATGGAGAGCTGTTTACTCCACCAGCTGCTCACAAGAAAGAGAGAAGGAGGGGTGATTTGTGGGTAAAAATATGGGAGAGGCTGACAAATCTGTAAATGCACACTCACTCATTAGCAGGAGCAAGTGTCTCATGTTGGTCTAAAAGTATCTTTCGAGATGCCTTTAACACAAACTCATATACACACAGAGTACGTCCACAATAACGCCTGTAGATGAGTACAATAGAGGGTATGGGCCCCAGCCACAGATAGCCTATGTATGATCAGAGGGGAGGATTTAGCAGCGGTTCATATTAGGGTGACCATTGAAGCATGAAGGCTGATTGGACCAAATCCAAAGGAAAAGACAACCCCCCTATGTGTACATAGCAACTGCAACTCCAACAGCTTGTTACTGTGCAGCCAGCAGACAACTGGTGAGAGAACACGAGATGCCCTGAGGGCCTTTACAGCAATCAGCGGCTGATACCCCCACCACTCCAGATGAGTGGCAATTAAAGCGGAGGGAGGCAGGACCGAGGAAAGCCGAGGCAGGAATAAAATCAGTCGCTGAGCAGCCAAAATATGGAACGGGGAGACAGTGGGACAACACGAGTGCCTTACCATCCAGGGTAGAGGACATAACGTGCTCTCAGCATCTGTGGCTCACTGAAGCTGCTCTCGGACAGAATGAGACTCACGTCTTCATTTCTAATAAAGAACAAACAAACGATTAACCACATTGAGTTAGATCTACACTTATTATTAATTATCTATTACAAAAAAAAAAAAGTAAAGGCATTGAAGCACAGCCCTTAAAATGCTAAATCACATATCTGTTTGGCTCTAAAAACACATGAGTACGGAGAGATATTCACTATGCAATGCTGTGCAAAGTGAGGAGCGCTATGACCAAAGACATTTAAATATAGACCTACGAAGTTGAAAGTAGAGGGAATATTTTAAGAAACAATAAAAGGCAGCCAAACGACTGCTCGATGCATTGATCATGATTCTGTGGGCGCCTACCTGGTGACAGCTCCCCTCTCTGCCTGTATGAAGGCGGCTGTGGGGTTGGCAGAGCGTACCAGCTGCTGAACATGCTGCATGAGAGGGCGCTTCTCTGCTGTCAGCCCGGTGAACACCACTGTACTCACAATACCTGACACACAACACGGCGCAAAGACAATGTGAATTCCCAGAGAAAAAAGGATCTCTCTCTTCAAACACAAAGCCCCCGTCTGACCTGCCACTGCTTATTTAACACTAGGTTTGATTTACTAGTACTGTAGCAATGCCATGTTCTACTCACAAGCTGAATTGACATTTTGATTTTTTTCCTACAACTGAAATGATACAATAGGGGTCAAAAACTATTCTGTTAACGATAAAATCAGGGCTATGATCTTTGCCAGCTAAGTAAATTGTGATTTTTATGTATCAAGTAACAAGGATGGCAGTGATGTAAACCCAAACTAAATTCATCACAAAATCTAGAAAAAAACTGCCATCTGTGGACTTTGGGCTGCACGACCATTAATGTACCAATTTCGATATTTCTGCATTTTAATCAAACTAATAAAATGTTCAACAATATTTCCTCAAACATTTCCACCCAAAAAATTGAACACAAATAAAACTGAAACATTACAGCACTCCTGGCAGCTTTCGATCTGAGTGGCCTGCATTTATTCACTAAAGAGCTTTGTTTAGTCAATAAACTAGCCTGGTTTGTACCGAGGGTGGAAGCATAGGCTATAGTGCTTTCCGTTTTATTTATTCATTTCTCAAGACAGAGAGTTTTCTAAACAAAAACAAGAGTTCAATGGTACAACTAAGAAAAAAATGGTTAACCACAGCATCAGGCGGGACTAACCTTGGCTGCACTGCTCCAGCAGCTTAGGGAAAGCTAGCCTGCAGAGACAGATGCAACAGAGAAGAACCAATGTTAAATCTACACTTTATAAAAACAGGTGAAGAATGACAGCAATCAGTAAAATGCTAATGTAATGTGTCTGATGATCCGAACTAAATAATGACTCAGGTAAAAGGTTCAAGTTCCCAATTTAAGACCTAAAAAAGGCACCTTATAATTTCTTCAGTTAACAGACATCCTACTTAAGCCTCGTTTTGCTCCATAATTCCCACACTAAAGAGAGCTGCATTCATAGTTGGAACATGCGCCACAAAAAAACAAAAAACAAAAAACACACAAAAAGCTAATTCCAAGCACTGAAGGTGGCTTGAAGGCTGATTATCCACTATGAAGCATTTTTATAGTATGATATCATGACTAAGAGTGACAACCGACCTGTGTACAAGCCTTTTGTAAGCCAATTCATAGAATTTATTATCAGAGCTCCTCTTGACTGTTCAGATCGATCAGTGTTGCGCATAAGCATTCTGAGCCAAGTCCCCCCTCTTCTGCAGGCGGACAGATCAGTAATTTGAAAGGCATTTATCTTTCCTGTCCTGATGTAATGAACTGTCTACATCCATCACAAAGAATAGATCTTGACTGACTGATGAGCTTCACTGAGGAAGGTGCGTTGGTTACACATGTGGATCTGGGAGATTAAAGGGCTATGCAGAAGGGGTGACAGGCAGGTCAGGTATAAGCTGGTCTAACCTCACCCAATTAACACCATAGCAGTGGTCTACAGACCTCTACACAATCTATGGCAGCAGACAGTGAGATGAGGCTCAGTGAAGATGTGTCACTGCTTTACGAAACTTCATATAACATCTTTCCCAACAAGCAGGTCTCCAATTTGGATGTTTCCAAAATCAAAAGAATGTTTGTTTATATACACAAACACTACAAGCCTGCCAGCTTGGCCGTGCAATGAACAAACAGCCTATTAACCAGAGTGGTATGTCATATTGTGTGGAGCAGCTCAGTCAATCTATAACAGAGAGAAGCTCTGAAAGCAGCATCTAAAGCCTGTAACAAAAGCAGAGTGAGATTAAATGTAGGGTCTGATCCTCTCTACCTCTCTCAAACATAAAAAAAGAAGACGAAAAAACAACAACAACCCTATAGTTATAGCTTAAAGTGTCATGCAATGTCCATCCAAATGTCAGTTGTGACAACAACTGAGTCAAAATGCTCAACATAGGTTTATTTAAGCTTCGCGTTTGCACAACAGACCAAAACACATGCAACATCATGCAGCTTCTTTAACCGTTAAGTTGCTACATGTTAATGCCAGTGGTAGTAAATAGATAAATTACAAATGAGTGTCAATTTCAGAAAAGGAACTGATATGGGCAATAAAAAACTGGCTACAGCCTTCATATTGCATGGCTAGCAGGTTTCAGAATCTTACCTATGCTCCATGCAGGAAGCGAGAGGGTCCACACAAGCAGTGACGGCACCTACGGTGAAACATGCTTGGACAACGGGGTCAGGATGAAAGAGCACAGCCTGAACCACATCCAGAATGTCTGTGTATCTGCAAAGTGGGACATTTAGGTCAATCCTTTTTGTGAAATCTTCTGTTTAAATTCTCACAAAATACATTGTCAAGAAGATTCTGATTCTGATGTGTCCTATTAGCATGGTATTAACATCATTTTAGGCACTTAATCAGATGATAACTTATAGATTTTCTGCTTTCGTTTCTGATCGGCATATTCTCTTACCCAGGCGTGAGCAGCAACAGGCGAGGTTTGCCTTTTGTGTGTCTCTGGCTCTCTAGGAAGCTGGACAAATACTGCTGGAGGTGTGAGGCCGAGAAGCTGTCAGACTCATACACCACCCACCTATGTGCGTAATGGTTGAGACAATTGCATTCCCTTTGTTTGTCTTGTTTTTGTCATAGTTCTACATTTATGGTGAATTCTGAACTCCTACCTTCCATATTCCTTGTTCAGTTGGACTAGAAAGTCGCAAAGTCTCTCTTTATGGCTTCCTGGTAGCCCTGTGATGATGGTGATGACGACCTTTTTAAATAGACAAAAGAGAAAATATGCATATATTCATTGTGTCATCATTAAATTAGGATTTCAGAGGGAAAGCAACCAGAAAAATAATTTCCAGGGTGTACATTTTTCCAAAGTGATGATTCATTGCACCTTACGTCAACATGCTCACCTTGTCTCCCTGACCAGGGGATGGGTTCCTCAGCTCTGCAGAGGGGAAGAGCACCTCCAGGTGGTCATACAGAATTGGCCCCTGACTGATGCTGCTCAATGCAAAATGCTGAAGAAACCTGAACAGAGAAATAATAAGCACACGGGGGACCACCTTCATAAAAGTACTTTGATGATGTATTTGATCTTTAATGAACAGAAACTACCTTTGCTGCAGCCTTTCTTTGTCATGAACAATATTTAAGAGGTTTGCTACATTTTAGAGATGTTTTTACTCTGGTAAAGAAACTTTAATCGGGATAAGATCTAAACAACAATCTGGATATGAGTAGACGAGCACTGAAATGCAGAACCAGGGCTTATAGGGTTAAAAGCACATCATTCTGTATCACCTAGATATACAAAATGTAAAGCAAACACTGAGGGGTAAATAACAGCTATACTTGTATTGGTATTTCAATGTTTAAAGAATAATTAAACCACGGAACAGACGTATTGCAGGTATGGGGAAAACAAAGTGCTGTTATTGCTGCATGCTGCCTTTGCTTTAGTTGTAATGAAAGACTATGCAAAATGGGCCTGCTTAAAGAGGCAATCTAAACTTGCATATATCTTTTTAAGAAATAAGGAGCTTTGAGAGTTAAAGTAATCTCGAATGCTGAAAAGATCCTATCAACAGATAATATGCGCAAAGGCTTTCCAAACAGTACAAAGTCAACTTTGAGCAACATCTGTCATTCGGTTTCATTGTGTGCTTTGTCCTTCTCTATGGAGCAGTGCAGTGCTGTCTCTGGCGTCTGTGTGTACTAACATTTCCAGTTCGGGCAGCTGGGAGTGGGAGCTCTTAAGACTGCCTTTGCGTTTGGCCACTGGTGGCTCTTGACTGTCATGTAGCTTCTGAAGTCTGGTGTGCCTGAAAAACAAAAAAACAAGTTACAATGTTTTTTTTTTTTAAATATCTAATGGAAAAATGCATTTGACTCATACAAAATAAAAAGCTTTAAAAAAAACAAAAAAAAAAACATGTACATGTTTCTCTGGTTGGAGGACAGGTGCTCCTGGTCCAGTAACTGCAGAGTGATCCCAGATTCTTCATTTTTCCACACTGACAAAACCTAAACCAAAAAAAGATATGTTTTTTTCAACAAAGCTGTATTTTGAATGAGACTAAAATGGAGAAGTGGGTCTCAGCATATTTTTGTTTACAGATATATTTTTAAAAAGTACAATTACACCAATTTGGTTGAATCAAAGTAGTATAAGGAATTGTTCAATAATGCTTTTAAAGTCGTTAAGTGATGAGGTAACACAACTTATCACGTTTTGTTGTGCATCCCTTCAAAAAACATAAAAATAGGACATAATAATTACTAAGTGCTACAAGAGTTTTTCTGTTTCCCAAAAATATTTGAGAAAACCTGTGACTGCAGTACATGCAAAATAGTTTGTTGAGTCCCTTTTTTATACTAAACTATAATTTTCAATCATAAGTACTGTTGAATTCTAGTTGGCTCATGCTAAACTATATAGAAAAAGGAGTTGTTTTTTAAAAACTTTTGCTCATATCATTTTTATACAGAAAACTGAGCAAATTTGAGAAGCATTTTTTGTTGTTTTGAAAGCAAATGTAGATTTGCACGTGTATCTTCACTCTAAGGTCACTGCCCTCAGGTCTCACCTTAGAATAGAAAGTCTTGTGACTCTTAGACCGGGGCTGAAGAGCAAAAGCCAAACACTGGTCGGGGCTGTGCAGAGGGAATGGGAGGTGCGGGAGCAGGCCGGCCTCATAATCCACAAAAAGAGAAGTCACACCACTGGAGTCCTGACAAAAAAAGAGGACGCAGAAATTGATCACAAATAGGTACCAGAAACTCAAAAGAATATGCAAATGTTATATACATGACAAAATTGTGAATATAAAAATAATAAAAGATTGTCTTTAAAATAAATTCTGAATGCACAGATCTTCCAAAGAAAAAAAACTACTTAAAAATGACTAAATATTACAAGAAATATGGCAAAAAAAAACAGCGTAAAAATGCTAACCGGATCATAGAACTTGACTTTTCTGATGTGATCCCTCGAGAGCGTGATGCACCCATATTGAGAATGGATAAAGAGGAACCCCTCAGAGAAGAAAATGATTTTCCCTGCAATAAAAAAAGTTGCCGTTATAAAGAATGGACACAGAATACCTGGGATTTCTTACGACAATGGTCAAAACTAAAGTCAAGACTGCAAAATGACTGTAGCAGCACACCTTCCTCAGGTGAGGACAGCTGGCTGCTGGAGAGCACATATGCTGCATCTGCCATGGTGAGCACAGCTCCCAGGTAACCACCATCCTCTTTCTGTTTAAACAGACAAGTTGTAGATTTCAAGCTGAACACACATAATACTGAACATACACTAACAAACACAGAGCTCTCCAAACCTACTTTAGCCAGATGTTGGGCTTGCTCAGACTGCTTGACATCAGATTCCATCTAGAGTAAGAACAAAAGGACGCTAGAATGCAAATTTTCAAGAACGAAAACAACTAAACCACAATTCATTGTCAGATCCTTGAATGATGAATTTTAAGCAAGGCCCGTACCAGCCAGCAGGAATAGCGAGGCACAGTCGCAGTCAGGATAGTGTAACAGCTGTCTGAGGACACAGTGCCATCTACAGAAGCAAAATCAGCAAAGCCACAGAAGAACAAACCCAAAAGGTGAAAAACAAATCCAGAAACTGATTAAGGAAACAGGCTATTTTTAGAACAGCCATCTGAGAGATCAGAGAGACTTTGTTTTTTATGTTAACTGTGACCTGCGGATTCACAGCGCTTATTATATAAATCAAATTTCCTTTGTAGATCCAATCAGTAATCTATTCTGATAAGACTTAATTTCATCAACATTGTACCTCTCTGCTGAATGTTGATGCTGGATTCTAGAAAAGATTCAGAGAATACCACCGAGCCAAGGTCCCCCCTGTTCCACTGCAGGTCTGGGATGTCATGTACAATCAGGGAAGCCTTCAAGAAAGCCAAATTAGTTTCAAGAGCACTCTATGCAAAAGCCTTTGAAAGGCAAAGAAAAGTATGCCTATGTAACTTACTGTTTTTACTACATAACGACTGTCTTCTTCAGTCAGAGGAATCAGCCTATAAAAAAAGTTGGTAAAACAGGTACTTTTATTCAAAGTTGCATTTATACAAAGTGGTTACAATGAAACCATCAGCTCTAAATGGATTCTACAAGAAAAATCTGAAGGAGCTGCATGAGAAAATACAATTACATTCAAATGATTTTTAAAAGACTATAAAGACTTACACTCCTTGCTTATTCACTGCTTGAATGTTGAATTCACATTTAGACCTGCAAAAAGAAAAACAGTTAAAGAAATTAATCTGGTCCTTTCATTTAAAAGTCTTGTATAACATACAATTGGGGGAAAAAATTAAATAAAATGGTCTCTACCTGAGAGGGCTCCGGTAATGACTTAAATTTACTGAGTCCAGTGCCACCAGAAAGGTGTTCTCTGCCACATCCTTGGCCTAAAGACATTTTTCCTAATAACTAATTGTTCAAGCTACAGTGCAAAGTGTACAATGTGTTTTTTTTTTCATACCTTGGTAGCACTGGAGGTGCAGGAAAAGCATTTAATTCCCGAAAGAACTCCTTGAACAGCAGCTGAATAAATCTGTGACAAAACTCTGAAAGACAAGAACACAAATATTTTTATTGTTTCCTTTTTTTAAATTCAGCAAAGTGACAGTCACGAGAGAAAGTGAGACATTATTTAATATGTTTAAACAAAACACTTACAAAACTTCTGTTTTCTTTTGCTCTGTCATTTGATTCCCTGTTGGAGAAATATAGCCCTTTTTAACAAAAGTTATGCTAATGCTAAAAAGATTTTTAAAAAGCAACAAATATAAAACAACACATTGTTAAACACGTTAGTTCAGTCATGCAGAAAAGCTCACCAATATATGGTGCGTGGGTTGTCCCAAAGAAAAAGGTTCGCGAGCAGGCTAAAGGTCCTTTTGGAGCCGCACACTGAATAATCTAAAATGGAACAGTTTTTTTGTTTGAAATACCAAAAACAGCACACTTAAAACAAATGACAGGTAGATATGATGAATGTTGTCAAATGTATAATGCCTATTAGAATAGACAATCATACATCTTTTAAATCGATAAAGTAGATCTAATTTGTACTGCATTATTTCACCAGATGGTGCTACAGGTGATTCTTTTTTTTTTATTTTTAACTTATGCAGCTAGTATACTTCAGTAATATGAATAATTCTTGAAATTGAGAATTGTTTGAAATGCTGGCTTTTTGACAGTGTCTGGTTGTACTTTACTGAGGCCATACTAGGTCCCGCCCCTGCGGTTATGCATCATGGCATGACTCTTTTAACCCCCCCAAGTGTAGACATAGAGCTATTCTCCTATGTTGAACAACTGCTGCTTCTCACCATATGTTTGGCTGGAGATCCTTGAAGCCCAGTGTTGCGGACCTGATGACTCTCTGAGGGAAAGTTGAACAAGTAGCTCTCCAACTCCTCTAAAGAAGAATGATTCCCAAACAACATAAAAGGCTGCCGACTCTTACTAAAAAAACAAGAAACAACATTTAGTTAACAATAAAATATTTTGGTTAATTTTAAACCTGTAACAGTGGCATTCAAATAAAATTTGAAATATACCTTTTATCTGTGATGTTGCTAGAAATCAATCCATGAGTGTAGTAAGTGCGAAATGCCTGTGGATCAATGAAAATAGACTGTATGTTGAAAAAGTAAAAAATAAAAAAAAGGAAAACATCTTTTTGATAATAGTTTTTTATCATTTTTAAGGCAGTCTAACAGGTCTTTGAGGGTCAGAATTCTAGCTGATAGGTGTTCAAACACTTATTTGTAGCTGTATCATACAAATAAGTAGTTTTTTAAAAAAATCATACATTGTGATTTTCTGGATTTTTTTTCTTTTTAGATTATGTCTATCACTGTGGACATGCACCTACGATGACAATTTCAGACCCCTCCATGATTTCTAAGTGGGAGAACTTGCAAAATAGCACGGTGTTCAAATTCTTATTTTCGTCACTGTATGTCAGACTTCTTTTTTTGGAAACATGTATGTTGATAAAGAGAATTTTCAGCGACCAAACAGTAGCAAACTGTCATGGAGACATTGCTGTCTTCTGGTAACAATGAATGTCAAGAAGCATACCTCCCCTGCCTGTGCCTCTGACAGTTCCAGGATAGACAGATGACTCTCCAGGTCCATGCTGGAAAAAAAGCTACTCCACTGCTTTTCAAAGCTTGACAGGTCCTAATATACAACAGGAAGCACAGTGTCTATCATGTCAACAAATATTATGATATCTGAGATGACGTTTGCCTAGTTGTATGGTAAGTTAGAATCAATGTCAATTAAATTAAAAAAAGAGATAATCATCAAAAAGTGTTTTTAGTTTTTGGATCGAAGGATAATTAGTTAACTTAACTTTTAACTTATCTCAGCAGTAGATGAATTGACTTTTTGGAAGCTTAAAGGAAAACTTGTAAAATAAAAGTGAATTTTACCTCTGTGAACAGGTTATCCAGAGACACCAGGTCCAGTCTGTTGTAAACCTGCCACAACTTTTCACTCATGTCCATTAACTGCAAAAGGAAAAGCATATACAACCAAATATAGACATTTAACCATTGTAAGTTGCAGGTGGTTGGCACTGGTTTTTGGTTTGCATTTACCTTGTATTTCATGGTAAAAAAACTTCCACCACCAATGCCTTCCAGGGCAAAAGCTTGAATCAAGGGCCACTTTTCCACCATAAATATATCAAACTTCTGGTTGTGTCCTAAAATAAAAAAGTGGTTCATGTAAATTATGTGCCGGCCATGTACCTGTACAATTACTCACATTATTGCTTCATAAGATATAATGTTATGTTGAAAGTTGGAGCTCATTTCACTGTATGTAAAGCACATGTACAGTGAATGAACATGCCAATGTTAAAATATCTACCCTGTGAACTGTAAGGTACTCCAATACGATGGCAGCCCTGCACCATTGACACAAAACTGGAAATTTTGAATTCCTCGGCTGCTTCTTCATCTTCATACTGCAAAAAAAAGAGAAAATGACCAAGTCTAATGGGTATCAGTCAGTTTGAAGAAGCCCACAGCAAAAGGTCATTTGAAGATTTGAATGCCATAAAAATCTAAAATAAGCAATCTTTCATTTAACTAATCATTTAATTTAGAATAAATAAAATGGCAGAAAAGTTTTCCGCCTGTGCACAAACTTCACTTTGGGGACACATGTCCTTGACACAAGATAAAATTCCATTCAGACAAGATATGTAATCTGACTTAAATGCTCTTGATACGGTTCACATGCCTGGCTTAAGCATGTCGGAAGTCTGAAAACATTCAGAGATAGGTATGTGGGTAAAGATGTGAGTTCTTACCTCAGCCTCTGTCATGCAATAAAGACACAGGTTCCTCCAGTGTGACACATAGGGCAACAGGTAAATGTAGTTCAGTGGGTTGCAGTACAGATGAACACACTCTGCCTTTATGAGCAGGATCACATCTGTCAAGTCAATAAATTATGTGTTATAGGGGATTAAAAATTAGCAAGCACGCAAAAAAATTTTTGGGGGGGAGATTAATGCTCACCATCAAGCATTTCTTCCGGAAATTCTTCAAGGGCCTGTTCAAAGTTTGCTTGGCTTCTTCCATATAGTCCATAGAACAAGTACTTTGCCAGCTCCGTGCATCCACTATTATATCTGCTGTCAATTCCTAAAATACCCCAAAAAGGTATAATCAGATTTATTTTTTTGAAGGGGCAACTTCAATGGTTACATGTAATATATGCCAGTGCAGTGATAACTAAGTAAGGTCTGAAGATTCAAATCAAAAGGCTGAGCTTAACATACCAAGAGAGCACAGGATGCCATCGGGACTGGCAGTGCCAGCTTCACAGAGCAGAGCCTGGACCTGACGCAGACGACAGCAACTACACAAAAACAACAGTAATAATAAAAATAATAATACAATTAAATGTGCAAATTGAAAATTTATTTGAATATCTGCATTATAATAAAACGTACTTTTTTCGAATATTTTACGACTATTTTTATCATTTGTTCACAATAATTAACGTTTGAGTTTGCATTCAATTAATCAAAACACAGTCTAGCTGTACTGAAAAGTGCTGTAAGTAAATGCAAATTATTTCCATTTCATTTCAGAGAGTTTCCACCAGCCCACCTAACCCGTCTTTTTTTTCACCTTTAAAACTTTTGCCCGTTTATGACCTCTCTCCCTAACGTCAATTTGACCAGATATTCGAACGTCTACTGACAGCAGTTGAAGCTAGCGCTAGCTAAACTAGCTTGGCAGCTAAAGAGGCGTTTTTCCGTAAACACAACATGAAATAAACCTTACCTGACGGCTGGATTTATCCCAGAGAATTTCCCGTTGACTCTCCTTACACCAGCCATTGCTACAATTGTCACGTTATGAATAAAACCAAACAGCGTATATCCTCTTTATATTCCCAGACCGAATATCTAGATTTTACTCTCCATCACCCTGGAGAACGTCTACACACGATAGCATAGCAACGGGGCGAACCATTCCTCGTGTGGAGGTAAATAATGCACATTATTGACACTGGAGCTTTGTTTTTTGTTTAAAATGCAAGTTTTTATCGAGCCAAACACTTTCCTCAATTTCACATAAATATATTTGTTTTCATTGGGCATAAATAATAATTACCAGAGACAAATAAATCCCTCTTAAACAAAGAATTCCCCCTCATTTTGTCAAGTAATACGATCCTTTCGTACAGCTGCAGACAGCAGCGCGCAGCTGCAGATGATGTTGCAATCCCTCAGTAATATGGACAGTTGATGTCCGACATTGTTCATGAAAATAAACTATTTTTATGCATAAACATCTTTAAAGTGTAAAACAAAATATTTTAAGAAACCTAAACGTAATTTAGAATATTAAAAAAACAACTTTTATTATCCCACAAGTGAGTGAATGGCACAATACAGAGCTCTGTGATTCAAGAATACATACAAAAACAAATAAACAAAGGCAGAACTATGGTGCAGCACTGCTCCATAAAGGAGACACTACCACAGTGGCAGTTAAAGTACTCACGAGAATCCAGATCACATTAAAGGACTTCTGTGTCCTTTGCAGGTTAGGGCAGCTGAGGCCATGAAAGTTTCAGGGAATATTTCAACCCGTAAAACAGCTCTACTGGTGGGGTGTTGAATTAAACTGTATATCTACAGCAGGATTTTTGGGTCCTTTAGGGGGTCCTTTCCTCAGCCGTCCTTTTTAACTGCACCAAATAACCCAGAACTTTAAAGGATTCCTACCGGGAAGATGTCTGATTGGTGGAGTATTACTAGTATTTTCACCTCTCTGTGTCACAAACCTACAGCAGCTCATAAAACACATCACAGTTTTTTTAGATACAACCTTCAAAACCCAGACCATTATTGTGGTAAATTCGTGATGAATAAAGACACTAAACTCAGACTCTTAACAACAAAGAGGCTGAATGGAATCAACATTAATCTGTGATTATTATTTTACAGAGGCTTTGCCCTGAGACACAGCACAGTATAGCAACACCTTAAACCCTGTAAAAAATGTAGGACAGAATAGGTTTTAAATGGAGCATAAAAGCACTTCCTCATATTTTGGCAGCAGATTGCACCTACTGATCACTGATTAAGTTGGGAAAGCAGGTTGCAGTGTGAACTAAAGTAGTTTGGGCATGTTCCAGATGCAAACAAGGAAACAAATAAGCCTAAAAAAAAACAGCAACAATGTTTCAGTTCCTGACATGTTCACAGTGGTTATACTCATATTCACAAATGAAAACAAAATGAATAACATTAACAAACTTTATTTATGCATTTAGCAGACACTTTTGTACATAAGCCCCCCAGCTTTATTGTAGAAATAAAGCTGATGGGAATTAATCCACCTCATACAGCACTCTGGACTTTACTATCAATTCACAGCTCAGCGTGGCAGGGCAAAAAATGTAGAGTATTAACAATATGGATTCAGTGAAATTTTTTGCTGCTGATATGCAATATTTGAAATTCCCTGGACCCGTGGTAGTGTGGCTTGCATTATATATGAACGGTGTTTTATTGCCCCCCAACTTTCCAGCAAAGGCCATCTTCAGCACACTTGATCATGACTGTACAATAGACCACACTGGAATTGCTACAGACCCTGTGAAGAAATAACCTTAACTTCTTAAGGAAGGCCCCGCCAGACTATTTATGTTCTGTTTACTTTAGCTGAAAACAAATCACTGAAAAGGATAAAAAATCCACTGAATGAGGCCTACTGGCAACAAATTGCCACAAGGTTGTAGTTTAAATGTGCATTTGCCAAATGCGCAATTAACCACCTATTCCCATTCTGGTAGCAAAGTTCTTCTGTTGTATTTTAAAGTGATAGGTAAGGCATGAGGAAAATGCTTTTCAGTTTGCATGGCGGAATGCACTTCCTTGACACTAGATGTGGGGGTGTAGAATGAAGCACAATCAGGAAGTATGTTTTTGCCCTTTAAGTATTTGTGTCAGAGCCAGGGAATCCAGTTTTAGGTTTGATCCTAAACTGACACAGACCTGCCGGAGACATGACACAAAGTGAGTTATTTTCTAAAATTACAGTAATGAATATTTAAATGTGTAATTCCCTTTAGAGATAAAGGGTATTATTTATAATCTTTTCAAAATGTTGCAAGTTCATACTTTTTCAGTCCTGGACCAGTAATTTTTGTATTGTTTTGCAGACGGTGTTATTAAGGCAAAGCATATGATTGTGGTGGTATCCATGGTGGAAGAGTGGTCCTCCTTGAAATCCCTTCTGCAGGATACTTCTGAAGATAATTGTCACCAAGTTGCCTTTACCAGTCTGGGACCCAATGAAAAATGCGATTTAACAGTTGAGGACGCCTTCATCAGCCTGCGCTATGCAGATTTGAAAGAAGACATGAGAGAGGAGGCCGTCTGCCAGGCCATAGAGGGCTGCTTTAAATCCTGCAAAGATGGAACATGCACTTTTCTACTGTTGATCAAAGGTGGATGTTACACAAATAAGGAAAGAAGATTGATAGAGATTTTGCAGGCGCACTTTGGAGCCGAGGCTTTAAAATACCTCGTCATTCTCTCTGTGGAAGATGGAAATGTTGTCGACATGCTGGACGACGCCCTCTTGGATTTGATAAATGTCTGCGATGGCAGATACTGCCGGATCACATCATCGACTGCAAGTGGTGGACTGCATTCATTAGTTGAAATGGTCAACTACATGTTGACTGAAAATTGTGCCACTGGTTACACTGACGCCATGCTAACCGAGTCAAAGAGAAAGTGTACTGAGGACTCGGCCATGAACATACTTAAACAGAAAGTGCAAGAGGCGGAGGAGAAGGAGCAGATGTTCAACGAACTGGTCCAACAACAAGAAGAGAGAAGAGCCCAAGAAATGGAAGCACTAAAAGCAAAGCATGCTGAGGAAAGAGAAAAGGAAGTGCTTGACAGAAAGAAACTTGAGACAAAGAGAGAGAGTCTTCATGAGGCTGTAAGCAGCCACAAAGCAGCCATTCAGATCCAAATAAGAGCTCCTACTGGTGAGAGCATTTTTTCAATTTGTTCAAATTTTTTGAGTAAGATATACAAACATAACAACAAAAAAATAAGTCAATAAAGTCTTTGGACAGTAGTTGCAAGAGTGTGTTCAGTAAAACAGTGTTTTCTAAAATTCAATTAGATTCTATGATTTGTTAAAACATTTATGAAAAGAGCAAAGTATAGCACAAAGATGCCAGAAACATGCTAAAAATGTCAATATCGGAAACAAAGATGGACAAATAAGCACACTGAAAATATGATGAGCAATGTCCCTAAAAGTTGTACAATCATTTCGTTAGGGTGTCAGAATTGGTTATAAAAGGAGCACGGTTAATGCCTTAATGTACAAATATGTATCAAGGCAACGGGTAGTTTTTTTTTTTTTTAGCAGGACAAAGAAAAGTTTAATTCGGTATGGTCTATAACAATGTTGCTTGATAGACTGAATACATGTGCTTTACTACCCTCCACTCAAGCTAATCAGACATCAACAACCATGTTCAACTTAAATTTTGTATTCAACAAGAATTCATACAGATTCATCCTGTGAAACTACAAGAATTAGTATTTTTACTTACCAAATTATCAGAAAAGTGTAATCAAAGCAAGAAGGATGTGACAAACAAGGGAACAAAAAATAGTTCAAGTATGTTGTTGATTTAAAATTCTAGATTTGAATGTTTTCTTTTCTGTTTTGACTTGCAGGTGATGAAACCAAGAAGATATCTGTCATTTTGCTGGGCCTCTCCGGCAGTGGGAAGTCTTCTGCTCTAAATCTGATCCTGAGTAGAGCCAGTAATCAGTACCTAGGCAGTGGCTGTGATCCTGAGCCCGCTCTGCCAACCACGTTTTGTAAAAGAGAGGAGGTGTTTGCAGCAGGGGAACAGCTTGTCCTGGTGGACACCCCCGAGCTGTGGGATGAAGATGGGGTGGAGAATACCAACCTGGTGAAAGACTGCCTGGCTTTGGCCTTACCTGGACCCCACGTCTTCCTGCTGGTGCTTCAGGTGGGACGCTTCACCCAGGGAGAGTGTGAGATGCTTGCGCACATGCAGAGAACCTTTGGAAGAGAAGTTTCAGAGCACTCCATTGTCTTGTTTGTCCATTTTGACGGGAACCAGTACAGGCCTCAGAGGATCAACGACTATGTCATTGGAGCTCATCCAACCCTGCAGGATCTCATCCGGAAGTGTGGATGTCGTTATTACGAGTTAAATGTTACAAAGTCGTTTAGCGCTTTGAGCTATCCTCAGGTGAGAGAGCTGCTTTCTGGGATCAACAAACTGGTTGCCTCACATGGAGGCCAATCCCACTTAGTGAAGAGATTTTCTCTTCAGGAGCTACAGGAAAGAAATAAAATAATCTTACAGGGAAATGAGGGGGAGTTGGAAGACAATTACCTACTAAGAGATTAATTATTTCTTTTTCTTAAGATTAGAATGCCTTACTTGTAAAACATTGTTGTTTTAATTTACAGGAAAGACTATCCATTTGATTTAAATGAGCTGCCAGTGTAGGTTATCCCAAATGAGAGAAATTAACTTTCAATTCCCTTAATTACTTAAAAATTAATAGAATATGTTAATATGGCTGTACAGTTTCCCCTTAAAATCTGGATAACCAGCAGAGGGCTCTCTCTCGCCTAAGAAATGGAATCATATCTGAAAGTTTACCAATGCAATCCCGTGTGTCTCAGTGTACATAATAGGATTTCAGGCTATTTATAAGAATAATCTTAGAAAAATTGCAAAAAATAAAAAATAAATAAAAAGGTAAGGTGGTGGTGATTTGGGGATTTTCCAACCAAAAGGAAATAAAAGGAAAACAAATGAAGAGTTATATAAGTGTCGCAGTTTTTATTTCTATGGAGTTGAAAAGGAAGAAAAGAAAAAGTACTGCTCCATTATATTTCCTTTTTTACTTATATCTTTTTATTGACCATATCTCAATGGTCTGAGAATTTTAACTGGTACCTGAGGCAAATTGTACTATAATAATCTGACATAAGCAATTACTTTTTTTGTTTGTTTTAACAGGTTTATGGTTAATGATCCTGTATTTATTCTTTCAAGCATTACATTTTTACATTTAAGTTTTTTTTTATTGCATGCTTTGATGTGGCTTAATGATATGTTTACACTGATTTTTTTTCTTGGCTTGTTCTGTAATGTCATTGTACTTTATCTGTTAGTGTACAATTCAATAAACAACAATTAAAACTTAATTTATAAAAATGATTTTATTTAGAACAAAAGTGAAATACAGTATTGGAATTGATCTGATTCTACAGGAAGTGGTTCTATCTATGGCAGAAGAACAAATGAATAGCAAATTTGAGAACAAAAAGTAAGCATAGCTTTTACAGAAACTTAATCAGTGACTTGACAGTGGCATAAACAGGCAGCTTATATGTGAGAGTTATATGTGAACTGCAATATTGTCTCTTATTGGACGGCTCTAATTTGCCGCTGCTGCGGGCAGGCCCATGGTGCGGTCGATCCACTCAGTGTAGTGGGAGATGATGGTGTAAATTCCAGGCTTTTTCACTTGGCCACATTTTTTTCCTCCGTTGGAGGTGATACCCACTACAGTTCCGTTGAAAAGCAGAGGGCCTCCAGAGTCCCCCTGAACACAACAAAGACAGAAAAACACCCAGTCTTAGTCAGGAAATTAAAGCAGTTATCGAAATGATAACTTCTGCTAGTGAGCATGAAAATCATAGGCACTTAAAACATTCTGGATTTCTTCGGAAAAACATGAGTTGATCATTTATGATATTGTAGAATGAAATTAATTGTAAATACCAAGAATTTACAATTCAAATTCAAATTTGAAATTCAAATTCAAATGCAGATTGACAAATCTGTTTCATTTTTTGTTACCAGTATAGAATACAGTCTGAAATATGTAGTTTGTATATATAGAATTTAATAATTGAATAATTCATTTAGTCATTTTCAAAGTTTCTTTCAAAAAGAAAGATCCAGAACTTACATCACAGCTGTCCTCAACCGGATGTGGTTGATCACAGGGGTCTGGGCAAATTTTATGTGCACACATCATGTTGTCGGTAAACTTTTTGCCAAAGTAGTCGCTGCGTGAACACCGGGTTGGCCTGACCACCTGGACAACCACTTCTTTCAGCTTATCTGGCCTGGTTTCCAAGTTGTCCTCCGATCCCCAGCCGGCTGCCTCCACATCTTCATCTGGACTGGGGTTTGTGCCACCGGCTCGCAGAAATTGCACGGGTTTCACGGCTTCAGTGGCGCTAATGGGGCGATCCAACTGCAAAAAAAAAAAAAACACATGCTCGTTCTACAATCTTTAAACCAGTTCGCCAAATCAGGCAGAATAGTGGCATCAAACAGTCGCTGACCTTAATTAAAGCAATGTCGTTGTTGTAATTTGCTGAGCTGAAATCAGGGTGGTTGTGAAGTTCCTGAATCTCGAAGGTTTGCTTTGTGTCCTCAGGTTCGCTCAGAGAATGAACACCCAGCACAACCTTCCTTCCATTTGGTCTTTACATGCAGTAAAAAATAAATCAAATAAGATATGTACTATGTAGAAAAATCATCACAAAACAATCAACCAGAGCAAATCTTGCTTTTTCTACTGAACGGAAAAAAAGCACTACAGAAGTATACGTCGTGCAAGGTTTAAGACAAGAAATATTAAGCCTGATTCTTAATCTTTATCGTATTTGGTTTGGAGAATGCTCACCCGTTCGGCATGCAGTGGACTGCTGTCATCACCCACTGATCTGCGACCACAAAACCTCCACATTCATGCCGCATTTTATCCCCCACTGGTACCTGAATTGAGGCCATATAGGGGCGGGAGTGTGGCGTCGACTCCTTTCCACCGATTATACCCTCGCCTGAAACCAGCAGAAGGGGTTTGTGTCAGTGTTTCACATTAGCAAAAACGGCAGAGGACATTCACGCCAAAGACCGATTTGCTAAAAAATCAAATCAAACAGATGAATTGTTAGTGAATCAAATAAACAATGCCTGCAAAAACTTACTGTGTGAAACGAGGGCAACCAGAAAAACGGCAGCACAGATGAACACTTCTTTCACTGACGCCATGATTTTGTTTTACCTCACAAAAAACCAGCAAGCTGGCCTCTTTTAAGGGCTTGCTCTTGAAATAAAGGAGGCATAAATCAAGGAGATGTTGTGCAAGGCACAAGGGGGAGTGTGATCCTCCTCCTGTTCCCTGTTAACTGGAAGAAAAACAGGAACACATAAATCAAACACAGTAAGTTGTACATGTCCTCATCTAATACATCCCCGGCAGAATCTTCACCTTTTTTTCTTTTTCTTTTTTTAAATTTCTGTGTACCTAAAGCTATGAGAAAGTTACATAATGTTGGAACTTGCATGACCTATCCATGCTCTGATTAATCAAAACAAAAAGTACAAAAACATTAAGCTCTTTCTTTCTTCCCATCAGGAGAACATGCTGCACAGCCAACAAACCACTACTGACTACTTTTCTTTACGTCTACGTTTTGATCACAGGCCATATAGTTCACAAACCAGCACCATCATGAGACCAAGAACATGTCAGAGTGTGAGGAAAATCTTAAATCGATTCCTGATTCAGTGACTTTATTCTCACTCCACTACTAGTTTGACAAAACACAAATTCATTAGAAGAACAATCGATATTTTCACCTTTGAATAATATCTTCAGAGATCACAAGATTATTTCTGTATTGCTTCTGAATTGTTGGCAATGGGATGAGACAGTACATGTTGAGGACTTGTGTCCTTGTGTAGTGTGTTCACAACCACAACATTGCCCATGAACTTCAACTACCTGGTTAGAGAAAAGAGATGGATAAATGAATCCAGTTCATTTTTCAAAATGAGTCTTGTTGTTATTCAGTTCAAATTGACATTGTGTAATCTCTTATACATGAAAGATTTTTCTAAATCATCTTTTCAATTGTGATAGCTGAGAATTGTACAAATAGATGGTCTTCTAACAGTCTTGGCCTTACGACATTTGCTAGTCTGGCTCAAAACATTCTTGTAGAGTGAGTTGAGTTCACACCAGATCCACAACAGCTTGTACTCATGCAGAGGGTGTTTGGACAAGAAAATGCAGATCAGGGCATAGCCTTTTTCATCAACTCTGATAGCAACATGTGCATGCCTCAGAAGATAAGTGACTGTGCTACTGGAGTTCATCCAATCCTTCAGGATATTTGGAGGTGTGGGAGTTGTTATTATGAGCTATATACTGCATGTAAAGCTCAGGTGAGGGGGCAGCCTTCACCTGAGGATGTATTCAACATTTTCTTTGTTGCTGATGTCAGAACATGTTACTTGTGAAACTCCATAATATTCATTTTAGCTTAAGACTGTTAATTTTGCCTGTGCAAGTTTGAATTGGACTGAATTACTTTCCAAATTCATTACTTTCACACGATATGTGGTTTAATAGTTTGCTTTTAAATTAACAGAATTAGCTTTTTTGCTTTGAAGAGTGATTTATACCATGATATGTCGTTGTTAATGTAAACATGTAGAACTGTAATATTGAATAATCATACAATCTCCTTATAATGAAGGCATATGCTCAACTGTTGAAAAATTATGTGTAAGCAGTGGAGGGATTCCAAACCAGAATAAATTAGAGAACCCTCTCAGAAAATGATCCGTGTGCTTATCTGCACAGACCTTACAAGGGAGGAAAAGAAAAAGAACAGCTGTTTATTACTTTTGGACTTTTCTTCACCGAATGCAGACAAGTTTAAGATTATGTGATGATCGTATCTCAGTTGACTGAGAACTGAACCCATAAACAGCATTCTTCAAATCTGCCAACGAACTGATAATATCATTGAAAAATAGTATAACTTACATTATTTAATTGCAGTTTCAAACAAACATTTCTGCAGCCTTGCAGTTTTTACAGCAGTTAAACACACTGATCTGAATGTGGAAAATAGATGGACTTTTTTAACCAATATTTTTATACTAGCAAGTGATAGACTGAGGCTATGATTGCGACATTTGAAAATTGAAGAGGCTTGCTTTGTCTCCTCATGCTTTCTGAGGGAGTGGACACCCAGTGCCACCTTCATTCCATGTTTTTCTTTTTTTTAAATCATCAGATTACGCAACCAGAATAAATTATTCTTGTTTTTGCTAAATTAATAGAGTTGATGGAGTAAACTCAGCCACAAAGCAGAAAGAAAAGCAGTGAGAAAGTTGGACACACACCAGCTTTTACACAGAAAACTTTCAAACGTGACTCCTTATCATTTGCATACTTTTACCTCAGTTTGAAGAATGTTGCCTCACCCGTTCCCTCTGCTGGTGGTGGACTACCCTCATCAGCTTCTGATGTTGTCACAAGACATCCCCATTCAAGCTTCATTTTATCTCCCATTTGTACCTAAATTGAGGCCATGTAAGGTTGGTAGTTCGGTGCTGCCTCCCTTCCAGCAGTTATACACTTAGATGAAATTATCTGTTAAAATGGGGCCAAAAAAGAGGACTATTCACTGTGTGGTAAACACACTGATACAACTCTGTGGTCGAAACATGCAAACTCCACACAGAAAGGTAGTGGTTACCCAGGAACTCGAACCAGGAACAAGGAACTTCTTTTCCTGCTACCATTCTGTTTTTTTAACAAAACAAAAAGTGGGCTCTTTTAAAAAAAAAAAATCCCTTGAATAGATAAAACATATATTTAACCCTTTAAAGCCTTATCCAAGGACAAATAGAGAGGAAATTGTATATCTTTTAAACTGAAGTCAATATTTTTTCCCCATAACAAAATATGGAAAAAAAAAATTGAAATTATCTGTAAAAATCATTGTCGTGTAGTCTTGTTTGTACCCACTCTTAACAGGTATAACTGATTGTGTATAACATGGTGCAGTTTTTGGCATTGAATGATGCAAAAGGTTTCAGATGCAAATATTTCTGAAACTATATATATCTCAAATATGATACATATGGCATTATATGGTTACGGATATGTTGTGCAAGGCACAAATGGAATGTGATACTGTTCCCAGTTTTCTGGATAGAAAAAACAGGAAAGCATAAATCATGCAAAGTCAGTTGAAATGACCCTTAATGGGGGTCATTTCAATGAAAATGTTGGATGCACACATCTAATTCATCCCAGATGCAAGCCTCAGAAATTCCACAACTTTTGTGTTATGCTCCTGAAGCATTTTAGTATCTTTGCCATTATCTATGCTCATTCCTGCAAGCTCCAGTGCACATTGAAAGTAATAGCCTCCAAACTGAGTGAGGTACAGTTTGGTTTGGGTCAATGTGAACATGACAAAAGATTTCAGGAGCCATCTGGCTGCAAAAAGAATGGAAATGAAAGCACTGAAACAAAGAAACCCACTGGAACCAGTTTGAGAAAATGACTGTGAATATCACAGGAATGGTCAAGGAAATAAGCTACTGCGTCTGTGTTTATGGTTGTTTCCATATTCACAGTTTTATGGTAATGTTTGAGTCTAAGTCATCAGACACATGTATTTAAGAAACATAGCTTGACTTCACAACAGAAAGAAAAAACCCCAACAACTAATCGATTGGCCAAAACTAAAATGAAAACAAATTTCCTGGTTGGCTGCTTCACAACTAAAAATGAGTCAGTGCTAAGTTTATATCTTTATGTTTAGTGTTCAAAACTAATTACTTTTTCAAAAGAGGATGACAAGTATGAGCAGTGTGAAGCAATGACATGCCCAGCATGTTCTTTATATCACAAGGAGAATCCTTACTGCAGCCGGTTGTATGGGAATGAACTCCAAGGACTTTTTTTTTTATCATGATGGCTTGTTTTTTTCTTTTCTTTTCTTATACTGGTGAAGGCTGCCAAATACCAAGAAGGAGAATGAGGCGGATGGTAAATGCATGTTGCATCTGATGTTAGCCACCTAAAAATTTCAATTGGAGAAAACCAAAACCCCAAAATCTAGAAATATAAAAAACAAGAAATACCTGAAAACACTTGCGACAGGTAATGAATTAGCGATGAATAAAGGGTTTTGGGAGGGAAGAGTGATAACAGAAATAACAGCAGCTTTATACCTCTGAAGGAAGGGGAGTAAATATTACTTTGCCAGCAATTCATTAGTCTAAAAGTTTATCTCTGCCTCATGTTTCTCCTGTCTTTCTCTCTCCATGGATCTCCTGGCTGCTGAGGGGAAAGGAAGGCACTGGCCCAATGTCTTCAGCCTTATCAGCCAGTCTATTATTTTACATACTGTAAACTGCATTAAGGCAATTACTTAATAATTGGGCACGTTGTCCACTGACAAGGCTGCAGCTGGGGAGACTCAGTGCTGACGGGCTGCTTGGATTAAGGATCAGATACTTATGTTAACATTGCTATAAAGTTAAGATAACTCATAATTCATTCGAGCAATTGTGTGCTTGAAAATATATCACCACAATCCTCGCATCCTTGCACAATCAACGTTGACCTCACATGTTGATATGTTAATGACAAAAGACCCACACGTTTCGTAGCGCTATTGTTCTATTTGCTTTCATCATACAGACTCTTTTCGACCCATCGTCCTTTCTGTGGTGCTTTTTGTCAACCTCGCTCAGCCCTAGATGAAGTGAACTGGCTGTTGTCTAATCATCTTCGATCAGTTAATGACCTCTGGAGTGCATGTTGTCTCTGGATTGGGTGTTGTTAACGTTTTTGGAGCAGCGAAGATCTGCCGCTCTCACTGGAAAAAATGCTGTTTTACGGCCATGCTGATGATGGTGGGAAGAGACATCAGGGCCCGAATCAGTGGGAGCACATAAGTGAGTGTGTCTGTGTGTATGAAGAGATGAGCTTGTGCTTTTAACAACATTATATTTGTCACTCTTTTGATTGCACAGTTCTACTGTGATGTGTGAAGGCACGAAGTGATGTGGCACTGGTACAAAAATCTAAGTGGGGCCTAGGGGCCATTTGGAATGTCAAATTAACCTAACATGTATGTTTTTGGAGGTGGGAAGCTGTTGTAACCAGAGAAAACCAACGCAGACAAAGGGAGAACATGCAAGCTCCACAAAGAAAGTTCCCTTGCCGCGAGGCAATGTGCAGCCCACCACAACACTGTGCTGCCCTTGAGTATAACTATTATTGATATAATCCCATTTAGAACACCATTTTACTATCAGTTATCTATGTGCTGTTCAATTACTCATCACAAGCACGGAATATATGTAAACAATCTGATGAAAACATTGAATAATGTTAAAGTTTTTATATCCACTATCTAATGTTTACGATAAAATACTACTGTCAGTTACATGCAAGGTGCAGTTCCATATTTTTTCAGGGTATTTTTTTGAGTTTCCCATTACATGAACAAGTCATTAAGAAGAAAAACATTCGGGAGATAACTGGTAGCCTACACTGATCAGCCCTATGGCGGCCAGTTTTATACTGTTTGGTTGGCAATGGATGATATTGGTCCTGTGACTAAATCTTGGTGGTTTCAGTTTGCTTTCCAAAGATGTGTTCAGGTTTTTTCAGAATGTTGCGTAGGGACCCCAAACTTGGTCATATTCTTTGAGATATATTTATAAATTGCTGGTGTGACTGCTCAAGTAGGAAAGGTATGACAGGTCCTCAAGTATCAAAGTAACAGGAAGTACAAGCAGGTAATCTTGGATGTTGCGCTGTAACAAGAATAGCATCGTGTCTCGCTTAGCTTTGCTCGTTATGGGTCATAGTGTCAAGTCTGATTAATGTGGAAGTACTACAGAAAAAAGTACTTGCATTAACTCAACAAACCACCTTCGTACGTTCACAGTAAATTCACCAGCTCTTCCAAAGTCTTTGTTCTTGATTGCTCCATCCATAAGTTTTCTGCTGAAGTATTATGTCTGGTTAAAGCTGTTTGCATCATGATGGACATGGAGTGGAAATATAAAACAAACAATTCAATACATGTCCATAAATGGGTGAGTGAAAAAAAGGAACATTAAAGATATAGCAGAGTTTCATTTTCCACTAAATCACCAGTAGATATAAATTTAATTGATAAAAAAGCCATTCAAACACCATTTATTGATTAATACAATTGAATAACTGAACATATTCTGCTTGGATATTGGAGCAAAAATTGAATCAATCGGTTTTTCTAAATGGTGCTTTTTTCATAGCTTTATTACTGGCAAGAAAATAGGCAGAAACAATAAAAACAGATTTGTCATTTTGCGTTAGCAAAAGTCAGGATGCCAGGCCAATCACCCTGTTATGGAGCTGTACTGCACTCTGTAGGTACAAAAAAGAACTACATTTGGATTAAAAACAAGTCAAAATGTGGAGAGAAAGGCTAGAACAGTGAGGCAGTTTCAAATCATTAATATAATAGTTAATTAAGTTGTTGTTTTAATTGGATGTTAATAGAACTGATAGAATTGTGTTAGATAGACTAATTATGCTAATTCAAGTGCCTCTGAAGTATTTGCATGAATGAATGAATGAATGACTTTTTCCCCAGATGACTCCACCAATAAATGAAAAGTCCCAATCAACACATTCATATTAATCGGTATAAGTTCAATACCACATTACATATCCACATATAAATTTGGAAATAGATAGAAGCTAGTAATACAAAAAAGTATCAAATTGTATAAACTTGTAACTACACATACCCTCAAATATTATGTTAATTAGTGGAAACTGTCCAAAAGGGGTATGAAAAAGTAAAGCATATTTATTTATTCCTGTTCTCCCTTCTATAGCTCAAAACGTAAAATATAAACTTGTCTGTGCTCAGAATCTTATGCTTCTGATCCAAATTTCTAGTAAAATAAATACCTAAATATGATGAAGCAAATACATATAATTACACACATGCAGGAAAGGTTTTTATTTCATTCTCCATCTCAAAAATGTTATCACGACTTACCCTCATAATTAAACCTGATGAGGGATATCAAAGTCAGAAATCATAGGTTGAACCTGACAAAGAAGGCTGTATTCTCCTTTATTGACACTGTGCTCACACATCTACAAAAAAAATCCACTAAGCAGCATATCATAACATGTGTAATAAACATTCCCTGTGCATCATAGCCTTTTCGATTGCTATCTGGCAATGTTCTAGACTGTGAATTGTCAACCGGTCGCTGTTGTTGTTGAAGTTGAGATGAATTACAACTGCAACTATAGCCTCGAGCAACCAGGCCCACCCAGCCAGGTACGCGTATGTTAATCTGTCACGTGCGTGTATGCATTTCTTTTCTCATTCTGTCTCTGTGCATGCGCGTGTTTGTGCAGACATCCCTATCTGATCATCCATGTGTGTGGTCTGGAACTGAACCAGTTATCAGAGATGAGCTAACAGACTCATTTTCAGCTTCATTTTTCCCCCTAAATGTTTCATTACCCTTTCTCTCTCCTCCCCTGTTCGCTCATTCCTCCTCTGCCTCTCATTCTCAGACACTGAGTCAGCAGCCTGTCAGCGTGTCTGGCAAGTTTTTAATCCATCAATAAGTCACTCATTCAGTTTGACAGTCTGATTACAACTTTGATCTCTTTTTGTCATTGGCTTATTAGAGAGAGCCACGTTTCGTTGAGCTTTTTGGGCTTACTTCAGTTTAAAGATTGCATACAATAACATGTATTAGGTTACAGATCTAAATGTAAGAACACCGAGGGTGCATTGTGAAACTGTGCAATAAACTATCGGTATGTTCCCTTTCAAGGTGAAAGGGCTTTCCTTGAAAAATGGGATGAAAGGATCCATGAAAACACTATCTGCTTTCTCAAGTCAAAGTCTGTTATGGTATGCAGCAGAGACAAATGTCTGACACACAAAGTAAAAGGTTGACCTAAATACATTTTCATCTGGTATGGTCTATTTTTACATGAGTCCTGGAACACAGGGACAGATAAGATGGATAATGTCCAATGAGGAATTGCAGAATTTACCAAAAAGGTACAACAACCCATAATTTGCAACTAAAAAAATATAAAAAAAACTAAACAGGCGTAATTATTTACAAATCTCATAAACCAATAACTTGTTTACAGTAGAATATAGACGATTATGTGTTGAAAGTAAGAAAATTGACTGATTTGTGCAAAACTGTCACCTTGAAATTCATGGCAACAACACATATACAGAATTCCCCCTTTTGTTTTTTAACAACAGCCCAAACATTTTTAGAAAATGATGAATACCAGTTGCTGCACTTTTGTGGGTCCCATATCTGTCTAAAATGAGATTGTAGCAGCTTAATAAAAAATTCTTCAGATTCTGCCTTCCCAAATATGCAAGTTGCCAGTTCCGAAGGCAGAAATTTACCCTTTTAACCTGAGCGCTGATAACAAGTTGGACATTTTGCTCTGTAGTCACTTTAATTAATTCTAAATACAATTCTAAAAAAATACAATGAATCATTTGTTTAGTTTGATGACATTATGGCCAGACAAATGCAATTGTGGATTCTGACAAAAAATGGTAAAATGTTCTCATCGTTGTCAGAGATTTCCAAACATTCACTTTTTTAAAGCAGTTAGAAACTCTCATTCACATAATAAACTGCAAAAATGTGTCTTTGGTGTGAAAGCCACATATCTTCAAATAATGCTTCTCTGATTATTTGGTGATGCCACTTTAACCCTTTAAAGCCTGATCCAAGAATAAAACAAAATAGATTATTTTTTTTGTTTGTTTGAATTCCTTATTTGGCCTTTTAAGAAAATATGTAAAAAGAAAAAACGGAATACATTTTTTATATTAATAATTTATTACTATGCGATAAGTCAAAATTATTTTTTGTGTAATCTTCTACCCCCTGTTATCAGGTGCATCTTATTGCTTACAATAGGATTTTGAGCAAAGTGTTTACCATTAAATTATGCAAAAGGTGTCAGACGCAAAACATTTCAGAAACCGTACGTATCAAATATGATACATTTGGCATTATAGGGTTAAAGACTGTTTTGCTGACCGGTGTATTCTATTTTTGAAGCAATGTGGAAAATGTAACCCGGCTAAATTTACTATTAAGTGTTGAGGGCATTCATTCAGTCAAGGCAATATTAGAACGCCCTCTGCTGGATCACAAGATCAACTAATTCTTACAGTCTGCTGAATCCATCTGTGCAGCCAGTGGTCTGGAGAACTGACAGACTGATTATCTTAATTAGGAGCAGAAACTAACAGTCAGAAAGTTTGAACTTTAAAGAAAAATGACCAACATTACAATCCGTATGCACATACATTTAAATGACTTTAAGGAGTTTTGTGTTGAAAATAATACGAAATTCTGACTAAAAGAACCATCAAATGAAATGATTTACTGTTCACCTAGATGTGTATCTCTCTCAGTGACAGTATGCTGCCATTTTCAAACCTCACTTGAGCATCAGTGCTGTGCAAAAATCAAACTAAACATGCCCTTTATCCTTTATCTGTGTATAACCACCACAAAATAGATGTGGAAAATAAAAAAGGTGGATGTGGCGCAGGGTGGGATGGAGTACTGCAAAACGTGATGATGGAAAACTTCATAATAATATCTATATATATATATATATATATATACATATATATACATATATATACATATATATATATATATATAGAGAGAGA